ACCACACTCTGGCCCTCAGGCTCCAGGGGTGGGGACTCTCGCGAGCAGGACTCTGAGGTGAGCTAAAGGAAAAGGCCTCTCCCAGACCAGCTCCTTGGGAAGAAAGAGGAGACCCAGCCAAAGCTCTGACCAGTTCTGCCGCTGCCCAACCACACTCCCACCCTCAGGCTGCTGGGCTATCTTACTGACAACATCCATTTTGAGCAGTGACTCTTAAGTTAAAAATGAAACAAAACAAAACTGAGAATCCACATGCTAACACATGTCCCCAACCCCAAACCCAACTGTGGTGTTTCTTAAGTATGGGTTCTTCCCTAGTTAGTACCAAAAAGATACATGCTGCTTTAATTTTTAAAATGAAATGGAATCATTACACCATAATGAAGGCTGGATATAAAGCAAAGGAATCAGTTTTCGTCTTTTCCCACATTATCTGTATTTATTAAGCATTTTCCACAAACATCACCTGCATGCAAGGCTCAGACTCTCAAACCAAAACTGACTTGGAAACCATAGACGTATTTGTTAAAAAAAAAACTGTTAGGTAGTTTTACAACATTAAATAAAAATAACCAAACTCCTCAACCACATGCGTTTTTATCATTTCTAAAGATGTGGAAATCACACTGGCTTTGGGACTAAATTCCAAGGAGGGTCAGGCCACCATGCTTGCCTTCCACACAGCCTCCCTGCCCTGAGACCAGTAATTAAACGCACATCTAAATAGAAAGCTCACCTGTGGGTCTATCTTTCTCTCCTAAACTCCTCGCTCCAGGCCTCTCACTCTCTGCTCTCTCTGAAGTGTTGGACCAAGGGGGTATACAGGGACTCTTGCTCTGCCCCCTCACCCCAGCCCTGCTCTACCCAGTTTCCCTGGCAAGATGTCTTCTTCAGAGGGAAGAGGTGCAGGCTGAAGAAAGGATGTGCGCTGGGGATGTGGCTGTGCTAAGCAGATTAACAAAGCAAGAGGAGGAAGAGAAGGAGCAGGGGCTGGGGTTATTCAGGGGCATCTCTTTCACTGGGCCTTTGACACCTCCTTTCAATGATTTCTACAGTTGTAAGGCAGAAACCTGAATCAAAATGGCTCTGTTTCTGGGCAGATAATGGCATCCGTTTAGCTGCCTGCCATGTGTTGGAGAGGGTTCCAATTACTACAGTTTTTCCTTTTGAAGAGTTGGTTTCTCTAAAGAGGTGCTTGGTTATGGAGTGCTGGGACCTGCACAATAGTGGCAGTCGAGGCCGATTCAACAATATCACCAGAAGAGGCCTCAGATTTACAGAAACCTGTCCCTTCTTCCGGAAGGTCAGCCAGCGCTACCCCACCGGCCCCCACAGGCCCGGGCCCAGGGAGCGCTTCTCCCCTCCGGTCAGGGTGGGCGCCGCAGTTCGGCCCCAGCAAACCGCCCGCCCAGTGGTCCTCACCGGGCCCCAGGCCCGCTCCCTCCTCTGTGAGTGGTCAGCGCCACTGACAAGGAAGAGACCCCGCTTCTCACCGATGTTCCTGCGGCCGCAGGGGCGCGACACTGGAGGGCTGCGGCGACGCACTAAGGCCTGGGGGCAACCGGCCTTCTCGGGCCGCAGCAGGGACAG